CCACACAACAACCAAAACTAAAATGGAAACTGAAAATATAAAAATAAAAGCTAACTCAAAATATTACTAAATACCATAATAGTATAAATATAATATAGTATTTTCAGTGTAAATTTTGTATGACATTCACTGTCTGTAAAGCTGCTTTGAAATGATGCAGATTGTGAAAAGCGCTATGCAAATAAAGCTTGACTATGGACACAGCTGATGTCTATAAGGCACTGGTAGAGTAAGGATCGATGAGTTTCTCTTCTGCATGATGTGTGTTTTGTGTGTGTGTGTCGGGTGTGTGTTGTGTGATATCTGGTAGCAGCGTTTGCGTGTGTTGTGTGTGTTGCGTGTTCCTCCTCATGGGCAGCTCCAGCTGCAGCTGTTTCCAGAAGCGTGAGGACAGAGGGGCCGATTTCTCACCCTGCCAGCGTACGAGGGTCAGCGCCAGCCGGGCCCGGCGCAGCTCTTTGACCCAGCTCTTCCTCCGGACTGGTTTGAACTGGATCAGAACCACCCTGAGGCTGCCGCCGTGGAGCATGCTGGTCAGTCCGGCCTGCAGCTCGAGCAGAGCCTGTGTCCCGCGGACAGCGCTGCACGGACTCACAACCACCACCAGCCTGCGGCTCTGACCCACAAACCTCAGCGTATCGTCTGTTATAGCTACACACAGACACACGCTCAGTAACACACCACACAATACATCATTCATCACACGCACTCGTTCTGCATGACAGTATTTGATCAACACTTCATGCTAACGTTCACTATACAGCCAAAACATACTAGTGTTATTTTAGTATCATTTATATGTATTTTCAGGTCTTATTTTAATCTTTATGTGCTTTTGTCAGTTTCAGTTTTTTTATTTTACATTACATTACATTTAGACATTTACATTTTATCCAAAGCGACTTACAAATGAGGACAATAGAAGCAATCAAAATCAACAAAAGAGCAATGATATACAAGTGCTATAACAAGTCTCAGCTTAACGCAGTACACATAGCAAGGGTTTTTTAAAATTATATAATAAATAAAAAGAAAACGGATAGAATAGAAAAAGAATAGAGCAAGCTAGTGTTAGAGGCCTTTTTTGCTTTTTTTAATAGTATAATAAATGAAAAGAAAACAGAATACAAAAAGATTAGAAAGCTAGTGTTTGTTTTTTTTGTTTTTTTTTATTATGAATATTTTGCATTTACATTTATTTTTATTTCAGTTTTAGTTTTTATTTCTGTAATTGTATCTTTTTTTACATTATCATTTAGTTTTAATTTCAGTTTTAGTTTTTATTTTATTTATGTTCATTTCTTAAAATACTACTATTTAGGTTTAATTTGGTTATAGCTTTATTTCTAAGTTTCATTTAGTTTTTCATGTAATATTTGTATCTTATTGTATTTCAGCATGGTTTAAATGACCACTTTTTAAAAATAGTTAACAATAACAACGCTGACACATACTTGCACTGTATTACAAACTGTAAATTTGTGTCTGTGTTCACGTACTTGCATAAAGCAGGGATTCCCAAACTATTTTTAAGTTAATAATTCAATAATTTAACAATATATATGCAAATTCACAGTTGATGGTCACATGACATGCAAATAAATAGATAAAATATTAAATGTTATTTTTAAATATATTTTAAAAATTGTATTTAAATTTTCTATGAGTTATTTTAGTGTCATACACTATTATAATTTTTGTTAATATTTTGGAAAAAAAAAATTGTGTTTGTTTTTACTGTAATTTTAGTTGACGTTTTAGTATTTTTGTTGTTTATATACATATATTTTTTATATATATGTATAGTTTTTTTATTTATTTTTATATTTATAAAACTGTGTTCACTGTGTCTTAAATTCTTCACTTTCAAATGTCAAACCCTCGAATGTTAAACATTACAAATCCTCTAGCTTTTATTTTAATGGTGAAATGGTGTAAACGTCTGTCCACAAAAAGTGGTCAGTAATGCGAATGTGAATGTAAATGAAGTAAGCGTACACATTCTTAAATGCACATTAAACTGGATGGAGTTTAACAGTGAATGAAGCCGCTTTGCCCCTGCTGTACAGTATGTCTGGAGTCACACGTGATACTCACTTCCTCCAGGAAGACTGTCCCGGTCGAAGATGCAGACGGAGTAACCGAACTCAGTCTCCAGGACTCGACGCAGCGTAGACAGAACGAACTCCTCCTCCTCACTGTTGCGAGCGTATGAGATGTACACGTCATACTGCTTATCATCTGCAGAAACAGAGTTCAGTCACTACTAGTGTTAAACTTCAGTTTGATCTTCAACAGTAGCTATGTTTCCATCACTCTGTTTTTATACGCATTTTGACATATCGCATCAGAAACGAGTGATGGAAAAGACAAATAAATAAAAAATTCGCTTATTTCGCAAAAAAGTTTTTACGCTCGCTTGAGGTGGTTTTTGACTTGTGCGAAAAAGGGTTAATGCGAATAATGGGAGACGGAAACACATTTGCCGAATGAATTCCTCCATGCGCATCAAAAAAGTCATAACCTGACTGACCAGCGGACCGATCTTGTGGCTTATACTTTTCTTAGAGATATTTAGTGCCAGTTTATCAGGAAGTGATGATTTTGTTCTCTGTGACTCATTGGATGGAAGTGGTGCTTATTTGCAAATGTTTTATGCAATATTCCAATTCTGCGCAACTTTGGATGGAAACCCAGCTAGTGAGAGTACATATTGCTAGTTACTAGTCAAGCTACGGCCGAATCACAGCCGTGCTGTTATATAGCCATATCGCACTGCTACCCGTGTGATATTGCTCATATATATTGCTCATATACACACAAGTAGCAATGCGATATATAAGGCCAGTCAATTTTGTTGATTCGTCCTCATGGTGGTTAACCTCGAGCTTAAACGTTTGAGCTTAAACCTGATAACAGACCAGCTATCAACTACCCATGAAACACAGCATCGTGTCAGTGAATGTGTGTTTGTGTTTGTGTTCTCACCCGTGTATCTCTCATCTGAGCCGAACCACGAGCGATAGAGCAGCAGCAGCTCGAGCCAGAACACGTGATAGATGACGAACATCATCAACATGAGCGCCAGCGTCACACCTAAACCACAGCCCAGCTCTAGAGTCGGGACGTACGCTACACACACACACAGACAAACACAAACAAACACAAGATTATATACACGCATAGACACACACACACACACACACACACACACAGACACACACACACACACAGACAGACAGACACACACACACACACACAGACAGACACAGACACACACACAGACACACACACACACACACACAGACACAGACACACACACCGACAGACACAGACACACACACACACAGACACACACACACACACAGACAGACAGACACACACACACACACACAGACAGACACAGACACACACACAGACACACACACACACACACACAGACACAGACACACACACCGACAGACACAGACACACACACACACAGACACACACACACACACAGACAGACAGACACACACACACACACACAGACAGACACAGACACACACACAGACACACACACACACACACACAGACACAGACACACACACCGACAGACACAGACACACACACACACAGACACACACACACACACAGACAGACAGACACACACACACACACACAGACAGACACAGACACACACACAGACACACACACACACACACACAGACACAGACACACACACCGACAGACACAGACACACACACACACAGACACACACACACACACAGACAGACAGACACACACACACACACACAGACAGACACAGACACACACACAGACACACACACACACACACACACAGACAAGATTATATACACACATAGACACAGAAATACTCATCTCACTGGTCAAATTTAGCTCCTAATGTTTCTATATCTCAACTGGTAGAGCATGTTATGGGTTCAAGAGACACATGCAATGCTTTAGGTCAATTATAAAAGCATTTGCCAAATGCATAAATGACATATGCTCAACAAAAAAATAATTAAAATGAAGTTAATACAATTTTAGTCTGAATTCTGATCAACATTTGCTGCGAAAATAAACATACGGGCATACAGGGTCCAAAACAAACAAGTGCCAAATGCGATTTAAAAATGGTTTTGGCGTGTAAAATGCCAATTAGTCTTTTAATGCCTTATCAGCAGCATATTTATGCCAAATTTAGAGTAGAAGAAACTAAAACGATTAAAATAACAATGAATCTTAAATAAATAAAGACAATTATATAAAATATATTTCTTAGAACAATATAAAAATATAGCAATTATAAAAGTTATTTTAGTTTGAATTTTTGGTGAAAGTAAGTTACTACAGTTTTGGTTTTGAGAGAAATTTAGCTGAATAAAAGTACGGATGCATTAAACTGATTAAAAGTGACAGTAAAGACATTTATAGTGTTAAAAAAGATTTCTATTTTTAAAAAATCTGTTCTTTTGAACTTTCTATTCATCAAAGATTGAATTAGTTTTTATTTAGGATTTAGTACAACGGTAACAATGCTGTTTTTAAATTTATTTGCTATTTTTCCCACACAAAATGTATTTTTAATTATATAGCTGCCTATATATACTACTGCTAAAAAGTTTGGGGTTAGTAGGATTTTTTTTCTTAAATTGTTTTTTTTTTAATTAATACTTTTAGGATGCATTAGTTTAATCAAAAGTGACAGTAAAGGCATTTATAATGTTACAAAAGATTTCTATTTCAAATAAATGCTGTTCTTTTGAACTTTCTATTCATCTGTGAATCCTGAAAAATAAAATGTATCACAGTTTCCACAAAAATATGAAGCAGCACAACTGTTTTCAACATTAATAATAATCAGAAATGTTTCTCAAGCAGCAAATCAGCATATTAGAATGATTTCTGAAGATCATGTGACACTGAAGACTGGAGGAATGATGCTGAAAATTCACAGCAATCAATTACATTTGAACAGATATGCATGTGTGTGTTAGAGGTGTTAGTGTGTGTAGTTACGTTCGGTTTTGAGTATGGCTCTGCTGGTGTTAAACCCGCGGCTGTTTCTGGCGGAGCAGGTAAACTCCCTCTGCAGGTCGTCAGCTGAAAAATCCCTCACATACAGGACTCGTTCTTTCCTCTTGTCACCGTAATCATTTGACACAAGCCTACACACACACACACACACACACACACGAGTCAATAAAACAGAGATCGGGACAGACTGAAGAAGTGAGAAACACACAAACACATCCGTACTTGGCCTCAGGTGAGCTGAATCGCGGGTCGGCGAGCTGCTCCACGGTTTTGTTATCGACGGTCCACCAGATGTACTGCTTTTCCTCGTACAGGTGAGGCAGAAGCACATGACAGGACAGCGTCGCTGTGTCTCCTGCAATGCGGAGACGTTCGTTCAGTGATGCATACTGCAGAAAACATGGCAAAAACAAGGAAAGACGACGACGACGCTCACCCAGAGTCACTGTGTAGATCTGATCGCTCGCGGGATTCAGAACGATGGGAACTTTACTGCCCACATTAGGAACTACAGTAGAGAAAGACGAATGTGTGAATCTTGAGACGAGACCAAATATATGGAAGCTTTCTCTGCCACAGATTAAAACTATAAAACAGGTAATCGCAACTTTTTAATCTCACAATTCTGAAAAGAATTCTCCTAAAACTTTAGAACTGCATGAAAAAAAACAGGATTGGTAGATGTAAAGTCACAAATATGAGATATAAACCAAATTGTGATATATATAAACTCGCAGTTGCGAGAAAAGTATATTATGAGATATAAATTTAGAATTGCGAGAATTGTAAGGGGAAAAAAGTTAATTGCGAGATATAAACTCAGAATTGCAGTGTTATTATAATTATTAACTATTATAATTTTTATTAATATTTAAAATTCGTTTTTACTGTTATATTTTCTGTTTCCATTTTAATTTTTAGTTTTTCTCAATTTAGAATTTTTAAAAAAATATACATTTATTTAAAAAAAAATATTCACAATTACCTTTTTATTTTTAATTCAGTGGCAGAAACAAAAAAAAATTAATTGTGAGATGTAAACTCAGAATTCAGAGGAAAAAAGTCAGAATTGCAAGATGTAAAAAGAGAATTATGAGTGTATAATTTGCAATTGCAAGAGAAAAAAATCCGAATTTTGAGATAAAACGTTGCAATTACCTTTTTTATATTTTTATACCGGCGGAAATGAGCTTCCATAGAATTTGTGATATATATAAACTCGCAGTTGCGAGAAAAGTTTATAAATTTAGAATTGTGAGAATTGTAAGGGGAAAAAAGTTAATTGCGAGATATAAACTCAGAATTGCAGTGTTATTATAATTATTAACTATTATAATTTTTATTAATATTTAAAATTCGTTTTTACTGTTATATTTTCTGTTTCCATTTTAATTTTTAGTTTTTCTCAATTTAGAATTTTTAAAAAAATATACATTTATTTAAAAAAAAATATTCACAATTACCTTTTTATTTTTAATTCAGTGGCAGAAACACTCCTTTCAGCTCCCGGTCTCCTCGAAACAGTTTAGTCCTGCATAACTACAGAGAAACAGATGTCAACCGCCAAGATCTACACTGATCTAGTTTCATGTTTCTTAAATCACTTCACACTCTCTAGAAGGGAGATGGTGTCATTATGAGGGTTTTTTAGTTTTAGTCCTTTTATTCATTTTTATGTCTATTTAGGTTTTATTCATTTTTATTTCAGTTTTAGTTTTAGTTACTATAGTACTTAAACTAAATGAGAAATGTTGCCTTAGCAACTAGCTGAAATATTTTATTTTATTTTATTCATATTCATTTATTCATTTTAAAATTGGTTATTTTTAGAATTAATTTTGTTGTGTGTTTTGACATTTTTTTTATTTTTAAAATATTAAAATATTATTTTTTTACCTTTTTATTTTTAATTCAGTGGCAGAAACAAAAAAAAATTAATTGTGAGATGTAAACTCAGAATTCAGAGGAAAAAAGTCAGAATTGCAAGATGTAAAAAGAGAATTATGAGTGTATAATTTGCAATTGCAAGAGAAAAAAATCCGAATTTTGAGATAAAACGTTGCAATTACCTTTTTTATATTTTTATACCGGCGGAAATGAGCTTCCATAGAATTGAGATGAGAGGAAACAAGAAAAGCTGAGAAAAGTCATAATTGTGAAATATAAACTCGCAATTGCGATATATATAAACTCAGAATTGCAAAAAACAAAAGTGAAAATTGGGAGAAATAAACAGAATTGCAAGGAGATGATGTCAGTGTTATTTCAGTGTTAACTATTATAGTTTTATTAATATTTTAAATTAGTTTTTATTTTCTGATTTCATTTTAAATTTTAGTTTTTGTCATATATCTGTCATATATATGTCATATATACTGTATATATATATATATATATATATATAAAATACCTATTTGTTTTTTATTCATTTTTTGCTAGGAAGACAAAAAAAATCTGAGAAAAGTCAGAATTATGAAATATAAACTTTATTTCAGTTTTAGTAATTTAATGTTTTTTTTGTTTTTTTATTTATGTTTGTTTATTTTATTTCAAGTAACCAAAATGTTTTTTTTAAGTGTTCTTATCTTTTAGTTTTTATTAACTATAGACCCTGGATGATGTACAATTCCATTAGATCAGGGTTTCCCAAACATGATGGAATTACTTGCATGATTTGATTACATTTTAACATCCAAATAATAAGTATTATTTTAATTTTATTTTATTTTATCCTGTTCCTAACATGATAGAATTACTTGCATGATTTGATTACATTTTAACATCCAAATAATAAGTATTATTTTAATTTTATTTTATTTTATCCTGTTCCTAACATGATAGAATTACTTGCATGATTTGATTACATTTTAACATCCAAATAATAAGTATTATTTTAATTTTATTTTATTTTATCCTGTTCCTAACATGATAGAATTACTTGCATGATTTGATTACATTTTAACATCCAAATAATAAGTATTATTTTAATTTTATTTTATTTTATTTTATTTTATCCTGTTCCTAACATGATAGAATTACTTGCATGATTTGATTACATTTTAACATCCAAATAATAAGTATTATTTTAATTTAATTTAATTTTATTTAATTTAATTTAATTTTATTTTATTTTATTTTATTTTATCCTGTTCCTAACATGATAGAATTACTTGCATGATTTGATTACATGATAGAATTACTTGCATGATTTGGTTACACGTTTATGTTTAGATCCTAATAATTTATATCATATCATATCATTTTATTTCTGTTTGTTTATTTTATTTCAAGTAACCAAAATTTTTTTTTTTTAAGTGTTCTTATCTTTAGTTTTAATTAACTATAGACCCTGGATGATGTACAATTCCATTAGATCAGGGTTTCCCAAACTGCTAATAAAATAATAAATAATTAAATCATAAAAATGTTAAATTAAAATAATAATCAAAATAAAACACTTAATTAATATAAGAAATATATAATATCTATATAATATTATAGAATTATGTAATGAAAATGTTATTTGTTTACCTGCATGTTATGCGACGATTAACTGACATCACAAAACCACAAACATGCAAATGCGTTGTTAAATTATCGAAATATTTACTTGAAATATTACGGGGACTTCAAGTAAATATTTTAGCTCAAAGGGGTTCGGCTGACAGCGTTGTTATCGTTAACTAAAGCTAAAAAATTTAAAACATTTAAGTTAACTGAAAATACATATTAACTGAAATAAAATATTAAAAAATTTAACTTTTTTTCGGCTATAAAGGCAACATTTCAAATGTTCATTTAGATTACTAAAATGACTAAAATAGAAATAACAATTTATTTAAAAATAATAATAATAATTTAAAATGAAAAAGATAAATATAAATATAAAAATAAAAAATATATATAGTATGTTATTGATACTAACATTTTGGGAATCCCTGATAAAGACGTTTATACAGTAATAATGTTTACAGGCCTTTATATAAGAATAATAATAATTATAATTATAACTCACTTTATGCCTTATCTACGTTTACACACAAAACTCCTCATAAATTGCCACAAAAACACTGGATTAACGTTTCTAAATGTCATGCAACTGTTTTTCCCACAAGCAACAGCTTTCTGCATTTTATGCGTATTGCACCATGAAAATGCAGTTAAAACACTGTCATTTGACTGAAATGACCTTTAACAAGCTGTGCAGGAAATATAGATCTGTAGTCTGATCAGGACACAGTGTATTTGAAGCTGAATGCACACACCTGCAGAGCTGCAGCGAGGCGAGGGATTTCATCCTCACACGTGCTCATGAAAACTCTTGAGTAACTAGTAGGACATGAAATGCGCAAGTTTTCACGTAAACGCCAGATAGTGAGTTTGCAGACTGCTGATTGGCTCTTTTATTTGGAAGGCGGGACTTATTTTACTACAGTCGCCATATATGGGCGTCCACTTTCTCCCATTCATTCCAATAGCAGTGGTTCATCTTAACTTTATACAGTCGTGCATTTTAGACGTGTTTAGGTTATTTAGGTGTTTAGTAGTGCACTAGCATATACAGTAGATAATACATCTTTCTTCATACGCACTATCGCTTCCGGTCATTTCTTGCATTGTTACGACTCTTTAAACAGACAAATTGCCCGTACCGATTTGCATTTTGATAGTTTTGCTCGCATACAACCTTTAAACTGAATGATGCTGATTGTTTGAGTTCACGTCTTCTCAGTTCATTAGCCATGCGACTCTGGAGATTAAGAAATTCATTTGCTTCATAACAGTCGGATGAGTTTCCAGCATCATATTTAATTATGATAGTCTCAGAGGTTTATTCACACACACACACACACACACAGAGACTCACGTGGTACCAGCTGATGGAGTGTGTGCTGTTGGGCAGCGTGAGTGTGTTCAGGTCTGGACAGGTGAGGGTTCGTTCGCTCTGGAACGGTATAGTCAGGTTCAGGTGAGGTTGAGCTCTCCCGTCACACTCTCCGTCCTTCTGAATCACCTCCAGCTCCACGCCGATCTTCACACACGAGGAAATGTTGCTGCCACACACACAAAACATCATGAAATAACCTGCACGACTGGTTACATGTTTATATTTAGATCTATATAATATGTATTTATATCCTGACCTAACCCTAACATGATGAAATAACCAGCATGACTTGGTTCCATGTTTATATTTAGATCCAAATAATTTATTATTATATTATATTATATTATATTATATTATATTATATTATATTATA